GTCTTCAAACCATCAAGTTGTTTAGGAATGTGCAGAAAACATTTTTTACTTTAGTTTTTTCAGCTCTTTTTGCATAAACATTCCAATTCCATTTTTATATATTGACATATAAATTAATGTATACGGGGGGTACGCGCATCACACAAAGATCAGGGGCGCTATCTCCGTTTCACCGCCCGTGTTTTATAGCGCCCTGAAACAACCTTCTCTACTCAATTCGTCCTCTCTCAAACTAGCGCCCCTATATATAACAGGCCTCCGCTCTTTTTAAATGATGAAATTTATTTATTAATCCCCCCTCTCTATTTAGCCCCTCCTCTCTCGAACAGGGTCTTTCTATGACAATCCTCCCATCCCTTTTTAGGGCCTGTTCATATGAACGCAGCCAACTGGGAACATTTTCCATTGTTGACACATACAAAATTCAATTTGTGAGTCATGAGAAACGACACAGTTTTTGTCTATTTTATAGTATTGAACGCCATAATTGCATAGTATAAACAAAAAATAAACATTAATAGACTTAAACAACCACTAAAACAGACAATATTAAATTCGTAATACAAGGTGCAGTTTGTTTAAGCCCAACAAAAATATTTCGCAGACGCATGCATGTCATATATGAACACTGAAGTAATTCATCCGATGCACTTCGCGGCTCACAAACAGGCCCTTAATTAAAGGAAGAAATTGAGGAATTTATTAAGCCATTCTATTAAGATTCTCTCAAATTGTGAAGATAATAATCGTCTACCTCAAGGTTTGACAATGCAACACTTCAGTCCACACAGCAATATACTGTAGTAATGAGAAATAGTTACTGCTTACATGTGCATGTATTTTATTTAATACGCATTCCCTTTTAGCATCCAAAAGCCAATGTTGATTTCTATCCGACTCTTATGAGACAATTTAACAAGACCTTCACCAGGCTTGCTCCAATCTTCAGCATGTCACCTGGATGCAGAAGAAAATTCCGTGATATCAACTGTGAACTGTTGCGTGGCTCGATCTGTTCGATGATGTTTCGAATATATACTACAACTCAGCAACAGTGCGGCAATACAATGAGGAACTGGTGAGTAATATAATAGAACATGACATGCATGTTTAACCCATCGGTCATCGATGAAGGCTATTGAACATTAATTATTTGATCACAGAGTCCGCTCTCGTAACAGGACCAAATGTACAAATGAATGTATTAGTTCAAACGTATTGTCTTCAAACAAGCCTAGAACCTAGATTATGCGGGCGAATTTTGATTTCACTCACATGCGACCGAGGGATGGACACGGTTGTGCTCAGTAACTTTTGATCAACCTTTGGCGTTTCAAACAATTTGTATTAGTTATAGCACGGGATTGTAAATTTTACAATACATACATACATACATAATACTTTATTTTGACACACTAGCCTCATCAACATCAGCTGTTTTTCATGAGAGGCGTGTCATGTCCCGTTTAATTAACATCGATTTTCGAAATCAGCGCCCTCGATTTGGCGGCTTTCTCACGATGACGAATATCCGCCATTTTTGGGTGGCATCTAATTCTCGTTAACCAATGCAGACAATTAAAACAATGAGAAAAGCAATTTTTCAAAATAAACTATAAACCATTTACAAAGCAAATCAGTACCATCATTCGTCAAAAAAATATAAAAAGTCCCTGTTACGTGGACTTATCTCCAAACTGACTTGGTCGCATAAATTTCGCTTTTTGGTGACGAGTCCCCTCTCCGCCCGGTCTATATATAGTTATACATAATATCCCACTCCTTGTAATTGAAATTTAACGTTTTATGTGGAAGCATGTAATTGTAAATTGATACTTTATCACTACCCCTTCGGCAACTGGTTTTTGTAGAGTCACGTGACCAGACAACACCAGGGTCTTTTTCCGTTGTCTTCATGCAAATTTCAGGCAAATACAATATGTATGTTCGCAAGTATTGGGTTTTAACTGAGGTTAATTGGGGAGCCTCATCTCTTTCGTTTCAGTCTACCAAGTTTCGTTCCTAATCTACAACCATATTTCGTGGAAATGTGCAAGTTACTCCCTGATGGTAACACAGCCATGATGGTTCCATTGCCGACCAACGTTACTAATACTATGAACAACGATTCATTGTGAGATGATTCACAGTGCATTTAGCTGGTATCTTAAAAGTATGATAATTGTAAGACTGAGTAGTTTCCAAATTGATGTCTCAATTAAATTTATGAGTAGAATTCAATTCAAAGATTAATTAAATAACTTCTCATTTTACTGTGTTATTTATACTATTTTACGGATGGATGGGAAGCCTTACTGAATGTAAAATCGAGGGGACAAAACGGCAATTACAAACCTGACTGACATGCAACAAGTTAAAATTTCTTTGTAGGTTTGCATGGCGATAAAACATATAATAATACTATTGTTTGTCGAAACACCACGTATTAATAGCACTGATGAAGACAGTGCCTTTTTTAACTATATATCTGGGGGGGGGGGGGGGGGGCAATTGCCCCCCAGGGAAAGAATTCCCCCCCCCCCAGTAAAGCCATTTCTGCCCCCAAAGTGCGAAGCAGAATTGCTCATGATTGCTGTCAGAATTGCAGTTGATTTACTTGATAATGAGATTTAATATGCCCTTCCATAGCCTCCTCCACAGCCATCTTGTGTGTAATTCATATTGTTCTTCACCGAGTATTTCATAATAGAGATAGATTTCATGCAAACAATCCGATAAAATGCTAGCCTTTCCAATTAAGCCTTGTGACTTTTTCCTAGTACTCTCCTCCTCACATGAGTTGTGTTTTGTTTTGTTTTGTTTTGGGAGGTTTTATTGCAAATTTTTTTTCTTAAAAATAACAAGTTATATTAAGGTTTGGCTACGCCACTGGTTATAGCTGTACGATTATAGCTACAAAGAGTTGAAGTTATTGTTTAAAGCTAGTAAACTATAGCTCAAGTTAATAAATTAAAGTTTTACAAAATCTCTCTTCAGACTCGCACGTTCGCCCAACCTCGACGGCTCATATTTTTCGTTCTGCCTTTTTTCTTGTTTTGCCCCCCCCCCCCCCC